CCAGAATGCAAAACAAATAATCACAATACTAATACACAAAATAACAATAATAATAATAAATATTAAAACAAAAAATAAATATTAATGAAAAAAAAACAAAAAATAAAATAATAACAGTAGTAATAATAAAAATAAATAAAATAATACATATTAAAATTAAACATAAATAATAAAAATAATATTAATAATAAAAATAATAATATTAAAACAAAAAATGATAATAAAAAACAGCTTCTTTCTTGTTTGTTCAGGTAAGCTTTGAAAATGAAAGATGCTGATTGGTTGCCATGGGCAACTGCTCCAGCTGGGAAAGGTGCTCATGTTCGGGAAAGGTGCGACAAAGCACTCAGGTATGAATGGGGGCTAAATGGGCCCTGAGGGCCCGTTCACACCAGATGCAGTGCGTTGCAGCCCGATTCTGGCCAGAACGCACTGCCTCGCATTGCGGCCGGCTCACTTTTTGTGGGGCAGGTGCCAGAATCGGGCCGGAACGCACTACATCTGGTGTGAACGGGCCGCAAGGCTTGGTTCACACGGAGCGTTTTGTAGCACTTTTTTTGCCCTAAAAAACACTAAAAAAATATGACCCCCCCCCCCCCCAAAAAAATCCCATTCATTTCTATGGCCTTGTTCACATCTGATTGTTTTGTTGCAAAACGCCTGTCACCCCAACGAGCTTCAATCTGCTCACAAAAATGCGTGATCTGATTTATGCACATAAAACGGGCGTAAAAACATGCAAAAAGTGCACAAAAATGTGCGTGGAAACGCACAAACGCCTAGGTGTGAACCCAGCCCAAAATAGGAGCGTCTGCAAAAAAGCTTGTAAACACAGGTTTTTCAGGCCATCCCACTGAGGTCTATGAGGCCAAAACGCGTGAGCCCTGACATTGAAACTGAATGAACAACGCACCTGAACTTGCGCTGGTGCGTTTTGATGCATGTCCATTGATTTGAATGGAGAACACATCAGGAGAAGAATCTGTAGGCGTTAACTGGGCCTAAAAGAGTATGTTGGCTTTTAACCAAAATAGAATCTTCTAGAAGCCTATTGTGACCAAAATGATTCTAAAATATCTATTACTACACATACATGTTGTCATAGTTACCTCAGAGGCCTGTTATGAATTTTACTATTCCTCCTCAGATAAGAACACTGCCATTACTGAGGCCTGTATTGAATCCTGTCACCACTCACACGCTTGTTATGACTATTAAAGCCCTTTATAAATATTATAATGACTCTCCTTAAGCCATATTTTAATGATTATATTACTCACAGGCCTATTATGAGTATTTGTACCATTTGTTCAGAGGCTGATAATATAGCGGCATGACGCCCTCCCACCAAGAAAATGGCCCCGGCACGGGCACGGCGACGCCGCTCGCCGATGACGTCACTCGGCTGAGACGCTCGCAACGTGACAGCTCAGCTGCTGGAGTGTTCCGTGGAGGAGCCCCGCCCAGGTGTTGCGACAACTTCCGGTCAATGAAGAGATGGAGCCCGGCGGGCAGGGTGAGTTTGTGGAGGGTGTGAAGGTGGTTGTGTCAGTCGGGTGTGTGCGCGCCCCACTTGTGTCCATGTTACCCCGAAGAGCCGTCAGCTGGGTGTACCAACATGGCGGCCCCCTGTCAGCTTGTTTACCCATTATACCGAGGAAGGAGGTGGGGGGAGGGTGGCTGTGTCATCTGAGGAGGACCTGTCATGGTGTTCTTATCATGTAGGGATGTGACACAGGTTGATGTGGTGTGTAGCCGGCCCTGTCTCTTATTTCCCCCATGATACGTTCTATTAATACTCGCTGTTTACATTTTTGTTAAGTGCACCTGTCACAACCTTGCTTGGCACAGGCAGGGTTTCAGTTGAGGACACCATGACACCCCATTCCTCCCAGATTGGTAGGAGAAAGTCAGGCATCGTCCAAAAATCAGCATCTCCTCCTGAAGTCATGCACTGGCAGCATTGGGTAGAATTGTGTGGGCCCATTTTATTTGGGAATGCATTTGTAGACTAGTGTAATGTATTGCAGCTAACAGCTCCTTAGATGGGCTGGCTGCATTCGTTTTTTCTTTCCAGGCATTATTTCTCTTTTGTTTTCATCTGGTGATCCTGACAGTAACGCACTTCCTGTCCCGGGGTGAGGGGACTACTAAACACCCCCCCCTTTCCTCTTCTCCATAATATAGGATGGAGGGGTTGTGTGGACCTCAGAGCTGAACTAGGAAGGCTGATAGCAATGGATGGGGAAACAAAAGAAGTGTGCGTAGGACAGCACTGGATTTCTGGCAGGATCAACTGATTTTTTTTTCTATTTATAGAGGGCCCTCTTATACAATCCCTACGATGTGAGGTCCCTCCTATACAATCCCTACGATGTGAGGTCCCTCCTATACAATCCCTACGATGTGAGGTCCCTCCTACCGTATACAATCCCTACAATGTGAGGGCCCTCCCGTACAATCCCTACGATGTAAGGGCCCTCCTATACAATCCCTACGATGTGAGGGCCCTCCTATACAATCCCTACGATGTGAGGGCCCTCCCGTACGATCCATACGATGTGAGGGCCCTCCCGTACGATCCATACGATGCGAGGGCCCTCCCGTACGATCCATACGATGCGAGGGCCCTCCCGTACAATCCCTACGATGTGAGGGCCCTCCCGTACGATCCATACGATGTGAGGGCCCTCCCGTACGATCCATACGATGTGAGGGCCCTCCCGTACGATCCATACGATGCGAGGGCCCTCCCGTACGATCCATACGATGCGAGGGCCCTCCCGTACGATCCATACGATGTGAGGGCCCTCCCGTACGATCCATACGATGTGAGGGCCCTCCCGTACGATCCATACGATGCGAGGGCCCTCCCGTACGATCCATACGATGCGAGGGCCCTCCCGTACGATCCATACAATGTGAGGGCCCTCCCGTACGATCCATACGATGTGAGGGCCCTCCCGTACGATCCATACAATGCGAGGGCCCTCCCGTACCATCCATACGATGCGAGGGCCCTCCCGTACCATCCATACGATGCGAGGGCCCTCCCGTACGATCCATACAATTTATATCCCATCAGGGAGGACCTCACACTGCATAGTAGATGCCGAATCTCAATGATTGTACATCCACTGTGAAGAAATCGAGGATCTGCACTCTCTGTCCTGGGCCAGCTCAGTTTTATTATACGGACTTTGCTCACATCAAAAGGAACAAAGACCACGTGCGTGGTCAGCTTAAACGTCTCTGAAGTGCGATAGATCTATCTATATATATATA